GCCTTTCCTCGGTGCCGAGAGGTACCCCGTCCTGGACGCTTCCTCTACTCCAGGATAAGCTATTGACGTACAGGTCATTAGCCTAGGCTAGTCTAGGCTATTCATCATGACCTCGTCTTACACAATTAGTGTCAGAACGTACAGGAATGCAGGGGCCACAGCCAATGGGGGTTGGACGCGTGGCATATGATGTCACATCAAAGACAGAAAACCGCATGTCGTTGCTGACACGCGACTTGGGAAAACAAACGATTAATTACACCATTCCCTTGACGAGACTGCATTCAATGCGGTAAGGCTCGGAAATGAAAGACAATAAATGTTTCTAATACAGAGCATTTATTGCATCCTCCCCGAGAGGAGTTCATTATACCGTCAGCATCCCGATGACGCAGCATTGATTGCTCGGGACCCCGAGCAGTTAAGAAGAGAAGACATTCCTCATCAGAATCAGTGCGCACACTGCCTGTACCTAATGATCACCTACTGACTACACTGACAGCAATCATGAGCTTTTGAGGTATAAATACTCCTTGCAAAAGGCAAGACGGGTATGCAACAAAAAACTCTTTACTACAATACACACTCAGTGTTTTCTCCTTCCTCTCTCTTTCTCAAAGACTGACTAGATCGTCGGAGGGGATACGCCNCTCTAAGACCCCCATAATTATTCTGAAGACATTAAGGCAACACTGCCCGGGGAAGAGGCGAAAGTGAGAAAGGAACTGAAGAAGTAAATGGGGTAAAGGAAACCTAATTCCGCCCTCTATTATGGCCTTGGTATAAAAGGGCATAGCATCCTCGGCCCCGAGGGTAGGAGAGTGCACCACCGGGTCATAATCCTCTATGTCTACGCACGGGGGAATGCTGTACTTGACCTTAAACCTATTAATCTGCTCACCACCCTTTACTTTATACTTCCCCGACCCCGAAGAACCAGCCTGAGGATTCTCGGGAGCAGGGCGACGACGAGGCATCTCTAAGAAAGTGAGAAAGTGGAGGGTGTTTTTTCTTAAAAATCCCTGAGGAAGCTTCCCGAGGATTAGTCGCTAAGTATCAACCGGAGACACCTCCAGTCATCGGAAAACAAAAAGGGATAGGAGGAAGAAAAGAAGAAAGATACTAGGACTCACCCGAATGCCAAACGGAGTTTTTTCTGGAAAACTTTAGGCGACTCCTTCCAGAAAGTTCAGAAGCAACGATGGGTCTGCTGGCCTTAGGACTTTAAGGAAGAATGGGCAGTTGACGATGGAAGAGGAAAGAGATCTCCGGCGAAGATTCAGGAAAAGGCTCTCTTGAGGAAGTTCGGAATGGCGAAACAAGAAAATGCAAGAGGAACCCCATTTATATAGTGGCAGTTTCATCATTGGGCGCGAAAAACGAAACGGCGCATTTAATGCACACGACATCCTAAGCCGGGGAAAGCGGCTCGAGGCAATGATGAAGCATTTGTGGTTGTTGGGAAACCCTTCGTCTCCTTACGACGCGTGCCCTCGGTGTCAGAAGATCGAAGGCTGGGGGGCAGTTGATGGGACTTTTCTGAAATACTCCATGATGAAGACACGTGTCCTCGGTATTTACCAAAACACTGTTACTAAGATCAAGCACCATCGGCGCATAAAGGTCCTCGCCCCCGAGGTACTCGTCATATAGGATCATGGCATTCAGTACGTTTTACAACCAACACGTAGCCTCGGTCTGATATGGTACCTCGGTCGGTATCCCTCCCTCGGTTCCGAGATGAGCCTTTCCTCGGTGCCGAGGTGTACCCCGTCCTGGACGCCTCCTCTACTCCAGGATAAGCTATTGACGTACAGGTCATTAGCCTAGGCTAGTCTAGGCTATTCATCATGACCTCGTCTTACACAATTAGTGTCAGAACGTACTGGAATGCAGGGGCCACAGCCAATGGGGGATGGACGCGTGGCATATGATATCACATCGAAGACAGAGAAACCGCATGCCGTTGCTGACACGCGACTTGGGAAAGCAAACGATTAATTACACCATTCCCTTGATGAGACCGCATTCAATGCGGTAAGGCTCGGAAATGAAAGGCAATAAATGCTCCTAATACAGAGCATTTATTGCATCCTCCCCGAGAGGAGTACATTGTACCGTCGGCATCCCGATGACCCAGCATTGATTGCTCGGGACCCCGAGCAGTTAAGAAGAGAAGACATTCCTCATCAGAATCAGTGCGCACACTGCCTGTACCTAATGATCACCTACTGACTACACTGACAACAATCATGAGCTTTTGAGGTATAAATACTCCTTGCAAAAGGCAAGACGGTATGCCACAAAAAACTCTTTACTATAATACACACTCAGTGTTTTCTTCTTCCCCTCTCTCTCTCAAACACTGACTAGATCGTCGAAGGAGATACGCCGAAAAACACTCCGTCGCCCTTCTAACTTGTTCTTCTTTGTTCCAGGAACCTCTTTNTGAGAGAGGAACTGAAGAAGTAAAGGGGGTAAAGGAAACCTAATTCCGCCCTCTATTATGGCCTTGGTATAAAAGGGCATAACATCCTCGGCCCCGAGGGTAGGAGAGTGCACCACCGGGTCATAATCATCTATGTCTACGCACGGGGGAATATTGTACTTGACCTTAAACCTATTAATCTGCTCACCACCCTTTATTTATACTTCCCCGACCCCGAAGAACCAGCCTGAGGATTCTCGGGAACAANTCCAGGTTACCACCGGACCTCGCAGGCTGTTCCAAGCAGCGTGGTTGATCACTCAACCGACTCACTCGAGTTCACCAAGGGAGAGATCTGTTTTCGTTTTTATATTGTGCAGGATCTTGCACGCACAATCTGGCGCCGTCTGTGGGAAACGACTAGTTTTCCTAGTTTTTTCTCTATAAAGAACAGTGACCATGGTGAACACTCGACAGAAAGGGAAAGGCCCCCACCAAAGGAGTCTCGAGTTACAAGCTCCCTGTCATCACGGAGG